ATATTTAAATAGATCCAGATGAATATTATCTGCTGGTGTAACACTAGGAGGAGCCAGAGGAACAGATTATCTGTCTCATGTACTACTGTCACAATATAGTCTCCACAAATATCAAAAAAAAATAACATTATTTTTTATAAAGGTACCTACTGAACCTTAAGCACAAAGATCATTAGAATACTTAAACTCTGAAGCTATAGTACAATCATTTCCATCTTACCGCTCATTTTTACTGGCACTCACATCTCTCGGGGAATTGCATTCACAGCATTATAACAGCTTTAATTTTTAATTCCATCTACCAGGAATAGCTTTAAAGCCTGACTTTGCACCCAAACATGTTGTTAGAGTAAGTCATTTAGCAGATTGTGTTGAAATATATTTTGTTCTCCAGAGGATTTTAAGTCGGAGATAAAGAAAAGTTACAAAACATATAACATAATATCAGTCCTCTTTGGTATCAATGCAACATGAACCCCGGTGCTCAGGGAGATAAAACAGGGGTGTACTTGTCATTTAAACCTTTTTGTCTTGTGTCTCACATATAAAAAAAGTATCTCAGGCACAGCAGCACCGTCTCTTCTGCGTTCATTGACTCATCAGTGTTGGAGCTTTAGATTCAGTCGTGGAACAGATGACTTCTCTGCCACCTATCGTCCAGTGGTGGTGGTTCACTCCAGCATGGACAGGAACAACAAACCACAGAAGAATGCGTCCCTCTTTGTTTATATCCAGTTTTATAATTACATGGCACAACGGCAGCAGTGATTCAGTAGCTTGCCAGGATACAAGAAACAACAAGAGTCAAACTCCTTATGTGTAAGGAAACAAACTTACATCAACAGAATTCAATCTTTACACTGAAAATGTTATTTTGCAACCTATGAGAATATAAGATTTTAGTGTTTTTGAAGATCTCTTTTTATAGTTAACCATTAAAGAGAGAAAGGCACATCTGGATCAGGACTTTAAATAGCATTAAATCAGCCAAAATGCTTAAAAGTAACACATTTTATTTGACAGTGTGACAGCATAGGAGCACATTCAACTCCACAAAAAAACCACCAACAACGTATATTTAAAGTTCTTACAATATAGTGGTGGAAAAGAAATGTCATGTGACCCTCACCCCCATCCATTTAACCCTCCTCTGCCTCTCTGACCTGTGGACACACAGATGTGAGGGGGGTGGCATTATCCTGATCGGGTTTCAGTCCTCAAAGATCGACTTTGAGTCTTTTCTAGACGTGTTACATAATTTAGAAGCAGGTTAAGTTTTGAACAGACCCCCATTCAGCAGGCGGACGACCCGTCCTCGTCCACTGAGAAAAGCCTTTCTCTCAGGGTACTGAATCCTCTTAACTTCTTAACGATGCCCAGAGATCTTCACTCTCTGTCTCACATTTGGCTAAATCTGTTTTAAACTGTGAACAAATAAATCCTAAAATAACTAACAGCGTACGGCTTCTCTTTTGATTCTTTGAGTCGGTCTTTGCTCCCGTCGGTCAGTCTTTCTGGGTTTCTTTTACCACAGCCTCTCTGTGTGAGACGTAACGCTGCCGTCTGTTAACCTTGTACAGCTCCAGCCTCTTCTCCTCAGCCTCGGGGTCCTCCAGCACTCCCTCCCACCTCAGGCTCTCCCTGGCCTGGGTGCTGAGCTCTGCTGCGTACCCCTGCTCCGGAGATCCACTGCCACTGTTATTGTTTGTCTCTGTCAGCAGGGACGGCGAGTCCTTGGGGGGTTTTTTGCTGCCGACGAGCCGTTCTCTGTCCTTACTGGTTGCTCTGAGCTTGGGCAGCTGGCCTCGACTCTGTGGGTACAGCAGAGACACCAGCAAGGTCTCAGGAGGCAAAGACACAGCATGAGGTTTCTCTGTAGGGAGGAGACATAAACATGTATGAGCAGGCACACTGGCAAACAAAGCTGAGGGTTCGGATTACTAATGACTCCCTCTGGAGTTGGAGGGGCTAATGGCTTGGTTTTACAGTAATGAGCTGTAATACGCGATGATGGGAAGTGACACTGAAGTTCTCTAACGACCTGTTCAACCCTGCAGGGGATCCTCCACCTTCACCACCGTCCTCTACTTGTGTTTACATTGTGTGCATCGACTTTGGTTTGAACTAGCAGAGCGATTAGATGATTCAAATGATTCAAATGTTTGTGTTCCGCAAATCCTTCAACCACCGCAGCATGACTAAGTATAAATGAATGTTGTGAGGGAGATTTTGTTTTGGGGCTTTCAGGCTTTTCGTTGTGTGACAGTTTATATGAGAAGACTTTCTGTGTTTGTTGGCAACGCTCACTCCGTCAGGAACTCTAGAGGATCTGCTTTTAATAAAAAAATGTGGCACAATAATTTAATTTCCTTTACTGTAACAAAGCCCCGAGTCTCAAACCTATTCTTCAGTCCTGCAGTTTTGCGAGAGGATTTTATTTTTACAGATTCCAGTCTGGTTTGTCAAAACATGTAAAACATATTTGAAGAAAAAAAACAACTGAATTTAGAGCTTTTAAGCAACTTTAAGTGTGTTTGTATTGGATGTTAAACCGATCAATACGCTCTTTTATACCTTAACGCAAAGGATGATGAGATATTTCTATTCAATGCTTCACTAACGTACCATAACAATGAATATAATGTCCTCATTTGATGTGTTAGGGATTAAATCTGCTTATATTTCACCACCTCATGGTTATTTCTCTAGATCTGTCCCTGTTACACTGTGGGAGGGTTTGAGACACATCCCCATCTGTCTGTCAACTCACTAATAAAACCATAAAATGTCCCTTAAAATGTTCTTTTGTAGGCTAAAAGCAAAGTAGAAGCATTCATTTAGAAGAATTAACCCCATTTTGATCGCTGATTAGTGTTGATTGCACTACTTTATTGATTTTATTGATTGGTTTGGACATAGTTTTATCTCATTTATGAGTTGTACAGTATGTTTTTAATCTTAATCTAAACACGAACTGTTGTCCTAGGGATAGAAATTACAAGATCTGCCTGAAGATATGAATGAAAATACTTAAAAGAGTAATTTAGGACGGTAACTAATGATTATTTTTATTACTTATAAGAGTATTATATCTTGAGTATTGAGTAATTATAAATACATAATATTTAGAGCCTCTTATTTTAGGATGATGAACCAGATTTCTGCTTGATAAATAACTTGAGTTATGAGATCAGTGGTGAAATGTTAACTGTATCTGTTTTAAGTACAGTTTTAAGGTACTTTACTTGAGTATTTCCATTTTAATCTGCTTTAATCTTCTGCTTCACTACATTTCAGAGGCATTTATTATTAGTTCTCGGTTTAAGTGATTAGTGATGAGTTTATAAAACATGATGCATTGTTACAGATGCTGCTCAACAGTGAATAAAGTAATAAATAATAAGTAATAAAGCTCCTCCTCAACTAACTCCCACACTAATGCATCAGTGATAATTAAAGCTGTTGTATAATGTAAATGTGGACGTTTTCCCACACAATTAATGCTTTTCCTTTTGAAACTATGAATGCATTTTACTGATAATTATTTACCTGTATTTTCTGCAGAAGTGATGGAAACTTTCTTTCTTTTCTTCTTCTTCTTCTTCTTCTTGGTAGAGCTCCTGGGTGACTGGGGCGGCTTACAGTTTTCGTCCTCGGTCATGATGTTTGTCTTTATTGGCGGACACAAAGTGTGGAGGCGGTTGTGCCTGACTGTTTACATGTTATATTCCACAGACAGACGGAAAAAATGTTGGATAAATGCTGCTACAACGCTTTCTCTGATGTTTTGTTAACATTTGTTGACACTTCATTTCCACAATCACGCTTTCGCCGCCGCCGCCCGTTGCCCAGTGACGCGTCTCCATGGCAACAGCACAGACTTTTAACTGTCGCCGTACTGAAATGTTTTGTTTGTGGAAACATTTCGACACTTTAAAAAAACGTTTTATCTGCATTTTTGCAAATTCATTAAAGTATTTTTATTTTTATTTATTTATT